AACAGAAACGACTAATGTGCAAAGAATGGTGAATATTTCCCCTGACCTGTAGGGAGGATATCTGGAACATAAATTCAAACTAACTTTGAATTAGCCTTATGCTAAAACTTCCCTGGGGATATTTTTTTGCAAACAATTACAGGATTATTTGAGTCAATACTGCCTGAAGAGACAGGAAACAGTTGGAGCAAACAATAGACCAATGAAAAATTTTCAAGGACTGGCTGAGGAATAAATGTTCTGACATTCCTGAGAATCTAGAAGGCCAAGTGAATACTTATGGCTGCAGGCACACATGCACATGGGCAGGAAGGATTCGCCTGCTATTGATATTTTAAGGCTCTTGTAAGAAAGAGGCAAACGACAGGACAGAGTTGCAAAGCGCTACACACAGAAAGCCCATGGTAAAGACTGGAATAATTTTGGTTCCAGGCATTTAAGAAAATCTGTGTAAAATCATTTGTTGATCATTAAATTAGTTTAACAGAGACATTAGTGGCCATTCAAGACAAAAAAAAAAGACTTCACAGATTTAGGTCAGAAAAGGCAATAAAAATACTCCCAATAACAGTAAGTACAATAAGTCCAATATCACACCAAATCCTGGAGAACAGAATTCTCATTATTAGAGTGTATAATTTATAATACTCAAAATATCCAATTTTCAACAAAATATTGCAAAGAAACAAGACACGATAAGTAGACTATATAAAAGGACACAGAAATAAATACAAAAACATGCTTGAGGGAAGTAAGTAATTTTCCAGAAAACAGATCTAAATTGTCTATTTTAGGAGCTGGCAGTGTGGCATTGCATGCTGAATAGCTACTTGTAATTTCAGCATCCAATACGAGTACCAGCTCAAGTTTTAGAACTCCACATCTGATCCCGCTCTCTGCTAGTGTGCCTGGGAAAACAGCAGAAGATGGTCCAAGTGCTTGGGACTTTGCTACCTAAATGGGATACTAGATTAAATTCTAGCCTCCAGGGTTTGTCCTGAGATATCCCGACTGTTGCACCCATCTGGGGAACTAACCAAATAGCTAGGCTCCCCTCCTTCCTTTCTCTCTCTAAATCTCTTTGAAATAAATAAATATGTAAATCATCAAGAGAACAAATGCATAATTCACAGAAAACCACTAGAATTAAAAAATAAATTAAGAAGGATTTTTGGACACTGGCTGGTTATGCAATACTCAAACATATTTAATTATATATTTGCTCACTTTTATTTTATTAGAAAGGCCCAGGGAACTGGGCCTGAAGATCAGCTGAGCTTGGCTGGGCTGGTCATAGTTTGTATTAGTGAGAGTTTGGAGCAAGGGTGGGTGATGGGCCTCGTGGGAGTTCTTTTGGGTCACTTTGTCTAGGTTACAGCATCTATGGATGTATGCCTTACTGGGCTGGGCTACAGCTCTGGCTGGCATGTGCAAAATCCAGGGCTGGGAGGCCCCCTGATTACTTAGCTGCAGTATCCACTGACATGTGTAAGAATGAGGACTTGGGAAGGTCTGTTACGGGTTCTTCTGCATTGGTTCAAAAAGGCTGCAGTACCCACTGACATACAGAAGTCAGGACTGGGGTTAGACTGGCAGGAAATCTTTACGGTCACCTCAACTAGGCCACAGCACCCATTGGTGCATGGGATGTACTGGGCTGGACTAGCTGCAGGACCAACTGGTTCATGTGAATTGGGGCTGAGGGCAGGACTGGCCATATAGATGAATTCCCCATGCATGTGGGGATGAAATCACTCCCATATGCAAGTGGGCTGATGTAGGGCTGGTCTGTGCCTGGGATACACACAGCCATGTCTGAGGACCTCCCAAGTCAGGTTTTAGGGGTCCACAATTGGGTGGCTGCACTCAATCCCCCACCTCAGGGAAAATCACACACAGACATGTGGTCTGGTCCTGGAGCAAATGTTACAGAACTGAGTTAGCAGTTGCTGACTCTCATGCTAGAGAGCATACCCAGATGTACATAAAAGACAAGACAGCTGGTTCATCTAAGCCAACAGAAGACTTTGAGTATCTCTGCAGATGGAAAGAAGGGTAGGCTAAGTAACACTCCAGGCCAAGTGTGACAGCATGCACTTAGACACACTGAGGTAGACATGAAGCCAAGAGGCCTTAGAAAGACTCCTTTTCCTATGGTGTAAGGAAGCTGACAACTTCTCAGAATAATCGAGATCACTCAAGTAATATCCTTGGAACATTCTCCATTCTTCCCTCCCACCAAGAGACCTAACGCAACACCAAATGACCATCTCTGTACTCTGGAGCTGATGCAGTCTGACAGCAAGGAACAGAGAATTCCCCTCAAGCCCCAAACATATGAGGGAAAATGAAAATATTTCCCTCACTCACTTTTCCCCAACCCCCAACCCTCTCCATCCTAATTGGAGGTCCTGCAAGGTGGATCTGCAACCCCCTTATCTTTGTAATGCATATTAAAATAAAATAACAGACAGATACAGAGGTATCACTCTTCAAATATCTGCTAGGGCTGGACCAGGAGCCCAGGACACAGTCCAGGTCTTCCATGTGGGTGGCAGGGATCTGTGCCTTACAGTGCACATTAGCATGAAGTCAGAATTGGTTATCAGGAATGGAACGCAAACCTGGGCAATATGATATGAGAGGCAGGTATCCAAACTAGCACCTTAAATACTTTCTCCACCCCTTCCTCTGGCCCTATTGTATTTTTATGTTATATAACTAGAAAGTGAAACTAAACATACAACATTATTTTACAATGTCATTTAAAAACACAATATACCCAGCTGAAGAAACAATGCATACTATGCAGACATAAAATTGCAATATATTGCTGCAACATTATTAAAAGGAAACTATGAGATCAAAGCTAATAAATTTACTCATGAATTGTGGATGTCAGCTCCTATAAAACATTTGATTGGAATAATAATGAATATATAGAATAATAAAATACCTCAGCTGAAAAATCTATTGAAAGTGGCACATTATTATTATTATTAATTTTTATTGGAAAGTTAGATAGACAGGGAGGAGGAGAGACAGAGAGGAAGATCTTCTGTCCATTGATTCATTCCCCAAGAGGCTGCAAAAGTTGGAGCTGAACCAATCAGAATTCAGAAGCCCATCACCTCCTCCGGGTCTCCCATGCAAGCGCAGGGCCCTGGGCTGTCCTCAACTGCTTTCCCAGATCACAAGCAGGCAGCTGGATGGGAAGCGGGCCTGCGGGGTTAGAACCCACGCCCATATGGGATCCTGGTGTGTGCAAGGCAAGGACTCCAGCTACTAGGCTACCGTGTTGGGCCCAGAAATTATTTTTAAAAAGTTATATGAAAACATAAGCTGGAGAACAAAACTGTAAAATCACTGTGTTAGACATCTATGATAAAACCACCATGATTAAGAATAACTGAAATTGGAATGAGGATGGGTAAATTAGTGGAATAAAACACCTAGAAACATAGTTTGATGCACTTGGATTAAGACAAAAGTGACATTTGTAGAAACTTGTCTTTTCGTTAACTGGCCAACTGGCTCAAAAAAAAAAAAACTTGAAAAAAAAAAGATTAAACATTATCATTAATGAAAAATCTATAGGACTGCTAATCTAAATGTTTACACATTAAAGCTTCTGGAATGCTACAGATAGCCTTGTAACTTTGAAGTAGAAAACACACACACATACACACATGATAGGGCCCAGCACAACAGCCTAGTAGCTAAAGTTCTCACCTTGCAGGTACATGCTCCAGGATCCCATATGTATGCTGGTTCATGTCTCAGATGTTCCACTTGCTATCCAGCTCCTTTTTTGTGGCCTAGGAAGGGAGTCGAAGATGGCTCAAAGCTTTGGGACCCTGCACCCGCATGGGAGACCTGGAAGAAGTTTCTGGCTTCTGGCTTCGGATCAGCTAGCTATTGTGGCCACTTGGGGAATGAACCAGTGGATGGAAGATTTTTTTTTTTTTGTCTCTCCTTCTCTCTGTAAATCTGACTTTGCAATAAAAAATTTTTTTTAAATCTTTTAAGAAAAATACACAAAATTGTGTCAAGTACAGGAAAACTCATAATCAAAATTAGTAACTTCGGGTCATCAAATGACACCATCAAAAGTAAAAAGCCAAATCAGAGCGCAAGAACTTACATGCAAGAGACTCATTTGTGAAATGTGGAGAGAATGCTTTACAAACCAGTATCAAAAAAGACAGGGAGACAACCAATTAAAAAAGACATAGGAAGGGATTTCATATAAGAAGATATCACTGTCCAGTAAACGTAAGAGATAAGTTCAATCTCAAAAAAGAATACACAAATTAAACCATAATGGGACATAATTACATACCTACCAGATAGTTAAAACATAGGAAATTTAGTCAAGTGTTGCCAATAACATGCAATAATTGAAACTTTTGTATTTTGCTAAAGTATAGATTCAAATATTTTTGCAAACCATTTAGAAATACTAACTTACGAACAGTGATCCTGAAATTAAACTTTAAAAATAGAAGTGTACTCATATTTTTATTTTAAAACATGCATGAAATGCTTATAAGAAAAGTATTCATTGTAACAGAAAATCAGAGGTATTATCTTTATCCAACAAAAATAAATGTTGTATTTCTAAATGAACCATTACTCAGCAATGTAAATAAATTTCTGTAACATACAATCATGGATAAATCTTACAAAGATAACAGTGAGCAGAGGAAGTAAGACAAAGGAATAAGCAGGAGGAGATTCCATTTATAAACTTGGAAAAACAGAAAAACTATGTATGGTGTTAGAGGCCCGGGTGCTCATCTCTGTGGAGAAAAAGGCAGGCAGTGACCAGGAGGCACCATGACGGAGGCTCTGCACACTGCCCAAGTTCTAGTTCATGGTGTTAGTGATGGTAACTTTGGGGTTACATCATGATAATTTGCATCATAATTCACCAACCTTTATGTAGTTTTCTGTAAATGTTTTAACCCAATTAAAACAAGCACTTAAATTTTATTTACCTGTTTTTTCTGTGTTCTGCTCCTGTTTTCCAGCCAATCATCCATTTGTTCCTCAATTTCTTCTATAGAAGTTCCATGGTCATAGGACTGAATATATGTACTTTCTAAAGGTGTATACACAGGAAATTCAGGTTTTGGTTTTTTGACTTTAACTTTCTTCTGTTCTAAAAAAAAGGTTTAAAAGAACAAAGTATTGAGAATTCTTAAGAATAGAAAGAATTTTTGCTATTTAATTCATAGACCATATCTTGAAAGGACACATTAAAAAAAATGTGACAGACACATTAAAAAATGCTCAGGATTAATAGCCATCAGGGAAATGCAAGGAAAAAACCACAAGGAGGTTTCACCTCACACCAGCTAGAGTGGCCAACCTCAAAAAGGAGAAAGAAGAATCCTCATAAGGAGGTGGGAAAGAAGTATCCTCACCCATTGTTGCTGGGAATGTAAGCTAATACAACCACTAAGGAGGACGGGATAAAGATTCCTCAGAGATATGAAGATAGGTCTATCCTGACCCAGCTACCCCACCTGAGATTACATATAAGCAAAATGAAATGAAATCAGCACCTGCAACAGTTACTTGAATACCCACATTTACTGCAGCTCAATTTACAATAGCTAAAATACGGAATCAACCCAGGTGTCCATTAACAGATGACTGGATAAAGAAAACGTGATGTAAAACATGCTATGGAAAAACCTCATCCCTTGAAAAAGAATGATATCCTGTCTTCTGCAACAAAAAGAATGCAACTAGGAAACATTATACTTAGTGAAATAAGCTAACCTCCCAAACACAAGTATCATATATTTACCCTGATCTGCTGTAAATGACACACAGAGTACAAACAATGTAATGTGTATGAGGCAGACAGACATGCTGAGGTCTGATGACTGCTTATAGCCTTGTTAAAGCTTTGGAAAGCATCATGATGCTCCTAATCTGTATTGTGAAATACATGAAACTTGTTCACCTTATATAAAGTTTAAAAAAGGAATACAACAGTAAAAACACCATTTATGAACATAATTTACTTACATAAAGTTATGGGTCTAAATATAAAAATGTATGCAAAATAAATCTGAAAGTACTTATTTTTAAATCAAAATTAATTCTTTAGTAAACACTCAAGATGACTCAGTGCTATTTTATTAAGAGGGACAAGGTTATAACATCTAGTAACTCGAACATGGCAGATTTTCACATTTGTATCCAAAAACAGTATTTCTGAACTAAATGCCCTGCATGAAAACATGCACAAGTGAACAGGACTGATACAACTCTATTCATGTCCGCAGTTTCCAAATGTGAACTTATAAATCCAGATATCATGCACTTGGGAGGTAATGAGCATATCATGTGTTATAATTCATTCAAGGAAAAAAAAATCTAGGATCTTTAAGAAATATTTATTTGGGCCCAGTGCAATGGCGTAGTGGTTAAGGTCCTCGCCTTGAATGCACCAGGATCCCATATCATCGCCGGTTCTAATCCTGGCAGTCCTGCTTGCCATCCAGCTCCCTGCTTGTGGCCTGGGAAAGCAGTTAAGGATGGTTCAAAGCCTTGGGACCCTGCACTCATATGGGAGACCCAGAAGAGCTCCTGGCTTCGGATTGGCTTAGCTCCAGCTGTTGCGGCCACTTGGGGAGTGAACCATCAGACAGAAGATCTTCCTCTCTGTCTCTCCTCTCTGTATAACCACCTTTCCAATAAAAATAAATAATTTTTTTTTTAAAAAGAACTATTTAAGACTGACAGAGAGAGGGGAAGAGAGAGAAAAGACAGTGAGCCATTTCATGTGTGGGAAGAAACAGAAAGACAGTAAGCTATTCCACATGCTGGTTCATCTACAAATGCCACAACTGTTGGGGCTGGACCAGGTCAAAGCCATGAGTCAGGATCTCTAGCTGAGCCTCCCACAGGAATGGTAGGAATCCAACTATTTGAATCACTGTTCACTGCCTGCTCAAGCGCATTAGCTGAGAGCTGCATCTACAAGCAAAGAGCCAAGACATGAATCACATTTCAGGACAGGCCGCAGCCACCAGAAAATCTCAAGTCAAAGAAAACATGTGCAGTATTTTATAGCTCACAAACTGGGTTATCGGCACTTATGTGCAGGACCTGGATTGAATTCTCCGGGCTCCCTGACTTGGCCCACGCCAGCCACTGCAACATGCTAGGAGCACTTGCTGTCACACTGTTCTCTCTCCCTCCACTTCTTAAAAATAAACGAACACAAAAATAAAACCAACAATTTCTCAATTTTTATAAGACAATCGAAAGAAGTCAAGAAAAAGATATCTGAGTTATCTTACTAGGATTTAAAGCAGTTAAAAAGCAATGGTTTTATAAGCAACAAGGAACATACTTAGTTTAAAAGTCTTAGCAGATGTATAGAAAAATCAAAGTGAAACATATCCTGAGAGGATCAATAAAAGAATCAGTGATTATGAAGATAGAAAACCAAAAATTTTACACTCGGAAAAAGAGAAAATTTAAAAAACAAAACAAAAACAAAATGAAACTAACAAAGTAGAGTCATAGGGACTCTAACAAAACATCTAACATTCACGCCATTAAGGTTCCACAAAGAGAGAAAGAGGGCTGAAAGACAACTCAAAGAAATAATTATCTAAAAATTGCCAAAGTTGGCAAAATCTAGAAACTTATTGATGAAAAGTTATGAATGAACCCCAAATCCTTGCTAAGATTTGCCATAGTCAAACTTTTAAGAACTAAGGATAAAGGAAAATAAATTCAGTGCAGGAGGAAGCAAGACCTCCCTGGCGGCTGATCTGTATCAAAAACCACGAAGGCCTAAGGAAACAGAACAAGGTTTTCCAAAGGCTGAAAGAAGTAACTGTCACCTAGTAATGCTATACTCAGTGAAAATATCTTTTAGGAATAAAAAGGAAAGCAAGACATTTTCCAATGAGCAGAGAGACTTTATCCACTGTGAGCTTATTCTGCTATAACAGATAAAAGAAGTTCTCTAAAAAGAAAGGAAATCATAAAAGAATATCTTGAAGTTCAGGCAATAGGAAAGAATGAAAACGGTAAGGATGTTAGAATTTTCTTATTCTTTCTAGGTTTTCTACTTATTTTGACTATTAAATGAAGATTGTAAGTTTCAACGTATGTAGAGAAAATGTTTAAGACACCTGTATTATAAATGGGGGAGGCAAATGGATGTAAATAGAGATCAGATTTCTATCACTTGAATTGGTATTGTGGACACCAGTAGACTGTGTCAAGTTATTACACAGTATACAATGGCTAATCCACACAAAATGCTATACAAAGAGATATATTTTAGAAAACTCTATAAATCAAAATGGAATTCTAAAAAATAACCACGTAACTCTTAGGAAGGAAGGAAGATAGGAAGATGGGAATAGAAATGAATAACAAGAAGTGAAAAATGAATTGAAAGACATAAGCCCTAACCTATCACTGACTACATAAAATGCAAATAGTCTAAACATAGCAAATGAAAGACAGAAATCAGTAGAGCAAATGAAAAATCATGAATTATGTATATGCTATCTCTAAGAAAATTATTTCAAATATGACACTGTGAGTAGTCTGAAAAGAAAAGGATTGAAAAAGACAATACATACAAACATTAATCAAAGGAAGGCAGGAGTAGCCACATAAATATCAGATTTCAGAAATGTGTAACAGACGACGATCCCTCTGCAAACTAGAAAACACACTGCTAATCAATGGGACTCAGTAGCAGTTTTAAGAAAAAAACAAAGGACTAAAGCAAATGAAAATACATCATAATATGGGGGGGAAGTTAAGAAGATGCTAATAACACCAAATGCTTATATTAAAAAGAGAAAAAGCCTATGATTAATGATCTAGACTTCCATAACAAGAAACAAGACAGATGATGGATACAAACCCAAAGCAGGAAGAATGCAGAAACTAAAAGTATAAATCAAATTGAAAATAAAAACAGCAAATCAATGAAACATCCATAAAAAGATGGACATCTGCAAAACTGACAGAAAAAAACAGTAGATAAAAGTTAGCAATATTAGCACTGAAAGACAAGAAATCACTACAGGATGTACAACACTAGACACCAAGTTTGACAGTATAGCTGAAAAGAAGCAATTACTCAAACACAAATCATCCCAACACATTCATGAAACAGGTACTGGAGCATCCATATAACTATGTAAGAAATTTAAATATAACTATACACACTTACATAGCTTCACCAAGCAATTCTGCCAAATACTTGAAAAATTGAAGCTAACGCTCATCAATCTTATCCAGAAAATTGACAAGAGTACTTCCCAGTTTACTATGTAATGGTGACAGCCTGATACCAAACTTATACAGAGGCAGTATAAAAAGAGGAAATCACTGCTATGGCTGGAAGGTACATATCCCTCTCCAAAATTCATGTTGAACTCATCTCAAGAGGTACACTTTGTAGGGATTGATTAGGTCATGAGCGAAATTCCCTTAACTTGTTTTATTCACAGAATTCAGTTATCATCCAATCCTTCCACTATGTGAGGAACTAACACTTTGCCACTTTTTTTCTTTTTTCTAAGATAGTAAGATTGTCCATCTGTAGGTTCACCTGCCACATACCCACAACAGCTGGAGCTAGGCCAGGTAGAATACAGGATCCCAGAATTCTGTCAAAATCTCCCATGTGTGTAGTTAGAAACCAAGTACTAGCAGCATTGAACAGAAAGCTAACTGGTAATTAGAGGTGAAATTCAACCAGAAGAGTTCAGACACGGAATGTAGACTTTCCAAGCACTGACTTAACTTCCAATACCACAACATGTGCCCCAAGACACCATCTCAGAAGAGGAAGCAGGTTTTCACCAGACACTAAGCCTGTTGCCAGACTGATTTTGGACTTCACAGCCTCCATTATCTGTGAGAAATAAATTTTAGTACTTTATAAATTACCCAGCCTCAGGCATTTTGTTACATATGTATGAAAAAAGTCTAAGATGAGGATAGGAAATGATAAGTTAGAGTGCTGCAATAAGAATACATGAAATGTGGAAGCAGATTTGGAAAGACACAATGCTTAAAGACTACAGCAGATATGAAGTGTATGCTAGAACACTAAGGGCAATGCAGATGGTTTTAGGAGGAAGAGTTATAGAATGAAGCCATAGTCTCCCAAGATTGTCTTAGTGGTCATGGACATAAGACTGGTAGAAGTATGGTCACAAGATGTGTCAGTCAAGACCTATGAGAGTAAAATGGGGCTTAAAAAAAGTATGTCTAGTGAATTCACAACTGAAGAAGAGGCAAGTGAAAAGGAAGCCACAGTCCTGAAAGGGTTTATATGTAAGTTAAAAAAAACCTAAATGATAAATATTTTATCCTAGATACTTCAGTAACAATGTAAGTGGAGACATTAGATCAAAGCAAAACACACAGAATTGAAACAGTTAAGTTGGACTTCATCAGAATTTAAAACTTCTGTTTGATAAAAAGATGTTTTAAGTTGTGAGAAAATACTCACAAACCATAAATCTGATAAAGGATTCATATCTAGGACACTCAAAAACTCAACAGTAAGAAAAATAATAATCCAATTAGAAAGCAGTGAAAAAGGTGTCTGGATAGATGTCACTGAAGAGACACACACAGATGACAAATAACCACATAAAAATGTTTCATCATCCCCAGCCCAGGTAAGCACAGGATGAGCTATCTACACAGCTTAAAAACTTAAGATGGAATACTTTGAATAGCAGTTAAGATGCAGCTTGGATCACCCACATCTGTATCTGAGTACCAAGGTCTGAGTCTGTTTTTACCAGGTGAAAATGTGTTAAAAATACCAGTGACAACATCATACATGGATTCAAAAGGACCTTATCTCACATAAAGAAATAAGGATATGGAGTTGTGTTGTCACCAACAATATTTGTTGTAAGAGATAACAGATACTTTTGTAAGAGATGCTGAAGCATTTTAATCCAACTGTTTCAATAGCTATGAGAGTGGCAAAGAATACAGCATTTTGAAATTCCTTATTTCACCAAGTATTCACTGTGCACCTATCACACGCCCAGCACTGTTCTATGCTCTATAAACAAGGCATATAAAAACATAAGTTAGGCTGGCATGGTGGCTCAGCAAGCTAATTCTCCATCTGCAATACCAGTATGAGTGCCGGTTCAAGTCTCAGCTGGCTCCACTTCTGGTCCAGCTTCCTGCTTATGGGCTAGGAAAGCATCACAGGATGGCTCAAGTTCTTAGGACACTGAACCCACATGGTAGACCAGGAAGAAGCTCCTGGCTCTCACATTTACGTCAGGTCAGCTCAGCTCCAGAGGTTGTGGCCAGTTGGGGAGGGAATCATTGAACGAAACATCTCTGTAAATCTGTCTCTTAGATAAAAACAAAACAAAATAAATCACCTGTCTGCTAAATCCATAGACATCAATGGTTTTATATTTAAGTAGATAAAATTTTTCTTGAATAATTGCAGTGGGGAAACTAAGATCACATTTTATCTTCATATATAAACCTTTATGATTTAAAATATTAAGGGTATTGTGAATTTGAGTTCTGTAAGTTTAAAAATTCAGTTACATCGTTATTAGAATAAAGGATCTCAGATAAAATACTATTATTTAGATTTTTTTTTTTTGTCTTCATATAAACTTTCAGGACTATGGCTCTAGTTTATGGCAGGGGAGACCATAAAGCAACAGGCAAAACATAATACCTTGACACACTATTTCTAGAGACAAGAAATATTTGATGGCATGGTTCTGATTATCTAATTTCGTTTTGTTTTAATCATACAAGCTATAGAGCAAAGGGGAAGGACATGTTCTACTTCTGTCCTACCACCTTTTCTCTCTAAATTTTCATCTTTATAAACAAAGTCATTTATTTTTTTCCTCCTGCTTCATTGCAAGTTATCAGGAGTCATGTCTCTTAAATAAAACTCATAACTAGACTCTTCAGAAGGATACTTAAAGAAAAAATCTCATTTTATAAACTTTCTCTCTTACAATACCATTTTAATAAAACCACCACACCCTACTCAAAAGTAGTCCTATGCCAGCCCTCTGAGAATCTGCATAATCTAAGATGTAAAGCAGATAGGAGTGCAGATTACCAATTAAGTCATGAAAAATAGGCAGCATAAAATAACTATGGCTAATCTGCATGAGATGCATTTACTCAATTAAGTAGATGGAAATGTTATTATGAACTCAGTATTCCAATGATGGTCTTTAAAATTAAGAAGGATGGGGGCAAATGAAATGCTCACTGGGGGATTTGGGGCCTTTATGTATTAATTCTAAAGTATACAATGCAGAACACTGTAATGAAGTTAACAAAATTAATTAAAAGATTCTTCGCATGTAACCATTGGAGACTACATTTAAAAATACATGACAGTTTCTGACATTATAACAGCGAATGTGACTATTCAACATTTTCATGATGAAATGTTAAACCTTTTCTAATTACAACACTGATAAAAATATGAGAGTTCTGTGACTCAGAGCGTAGTTTTTTCTGGTATTTATTTACTTATTTCATTTTGAATTCACTGCCTAATGGGCTAGAGGTGAATTTTCAAGCATTTTATAAAAAATGACTATTTACAAATTTTTACTGAAAAAAAATAATTCAGATATTTATATATTTTGTTTTTATTAATTTGAGCGGCTGACACAGAGGTGCACACAACAGAGAGGACAGAGGGAACAGAGAAGGGTGGATGAAGAAGGTGACACAGAGAGCGAGCAAGCGAGAGCTATCTCCCATTTACTGATTCATTCCCCAATTGTCTGTAATAGCCAGGGCTGAGCCATGATGAAGCTGGGAGCTGGCAACTTAACCCACCTCTCCCATACAGTAAGCATCTTTTCCCTTACAGTGGCAGAAATCCAAGTATTTAAGCCATTGATTACTACCTCCCAAAGTGTGCTGGCTGGAGGTTAGAATTGACAGTGGAGCAGGATTCAGTCCAAGATATCCTGATATGACATGAAGGTGTCCTAAACAGCATCTTAACCACTTCCAAAGGGCTCACTCCAGATACTGACTTATTTTTAAATTTCTGTTTCTTTAATAGTCTTCTTTCGTTAGACGATAACAAAATTAGGAGTCTTGTGTTGTGGTATGGCAGGCAGGTAAAGTACCCCGTATCAACACTGGTCTGTGTCCTGGCTGCTCCACTTCTGATCCAGCTCCCGGGAAAAGGCCTGAGAAAGCAGCAGAAGGCCACTCACACGGGAGACTCATAGGAAGCTCCTGGCTTCAGCTTGGCCCAGCCTTGGCACCTGCAGCCATCTGGGAAGTGAAGCAGCAGATCCAAGATCTCCCCAACAACCCTGCTTCTCTGAAACTGATTTTCAAGCAAATAAATAAATCTTTATAAAAATAACAAATTAAGAAGAAGAGAGGGTTATTAAATGTGCTTGAAAACTGTTATCAAACTCTCAAGCAAGACAAAAACCTTTAGCAGTTTTTGGAGAATGATGGCAAATTTCAAAATAAGATTTTTCTCTATGATATTTTATGTTTAACCACCATATTCAAAAGTGTATGCTACAATCTCAAACCACTACTGTTAGAAAATGCTAATATGTCAAAATTATAAAAGTTAAGAAAAAAATTATAAACATATAGAAATGATAGACTGTCTCTAAGAACAATAAGAAGTATTTATGTTGCCACATAAGTTAACTTTTGGGTTTATTTTTTTCTTATATTTCTTTCTTTCTTTTGTTTCATTTGAAATCAATGCTTAAAAATGTCCCCCCATATATTTATGTGCCAATTTTACTTATAAACAACACACCGTAGCAAGTAAAAGATGCACTTGTTTTAAATGGGGATACCAGGTTAAATTTACAACTCTACTTTTGACCTCAGCTTTCAGCTGATATACAGCCCGAGAGGCAGTGGGATGGCTAATTAACTGGGCTCCTGTCCCTTTATATGAGAGACCTGGATTACAATCCTGCATCCTGACTTTGACACTGGCCCAGTCCTGGCTATTGCCAGCATTTGGAAGGTGAATTAGCACATGGAAGCTCTGTCTACCTCTCAAATTAAAAACATAAAATAATAAAAAAATTACATTTAGAGTTTCAGTTGCCAAATTCTTCTTTGAACACAAAATCCCTGTCAAGGGACTCCACAGATATATAAGGATTGTGGTACAAGGAAAGCGGCCTCCACAATATGACCATAACCACTAGAATCTGGATTTGTGGTAGTGAACAAGATAACGTCTTTACCCTCCAAGATTCTCATTCTATTTGGAAGATCTAGATAAACTAAATAAATTGTAGGTAAAATTAAGTGATCTGAATAAAACTAACCAACATAAAGGGACAGAGTATACACATACACACACACATATACACATTACACTATAAGAATAAGACAAAAGGGCCAGAAATGTCATTAATAGGGTATTCAAGTTTTCCTAAAATCAGCAAAAATTTACATTTCTTAAAGGAAGTTTTCTTTCCAACAATTTATTCAAGCTTAATTAAATAACAATGTTATAAACAAAATAAAAACTTCCCAAGCAAAAATCATTTATCAGGCTTTCCAATTAGTACTATACTGTTATAACAGAAAGCAAACTTGGTGATTAGTTAGCCTTAATCACAAACATTGATTATAATTATACTACTGGAGTATTTTAGGATTCTGCAGATTTTGGATACTTAGCTATGAGTAATTATATGACTTGATGACTTCATGCCTCCTTTCAACATGTGATTCAACGACACTTAAGAGTATTCTCCATGTATGATTCATTAATCACAGTAAAAAATCAGAGCAGCAGAGAAAAATATAGAAAATGTACCTACTACTCTTATAAGGGAAATCCAAATTTAAATAGCTACTTTTATATTATAGAATTAATATAGCCTAACTTAAAACTCACTTTGAAGTGTTTCAAGTTCAGCTCTCATCATTGCGTCTTCCTTTTCTTTCATTCTTGTTTCCTTATATTTTGCATAAATTTGGCCAGCATCCTTTAAAAAAATTTGTAAATAAATTAAAATGAAAATCAGTTTAGATTGATAGAACTTTCCACTTCATTTCAAAGCAGGTTCAATTTAAATATGTTTGAGTTTTACCATGGATACATCAAGAGAACACCTTATACATTGCTTAGGTACATTTCCAAGATAACCCCGTATTCTTCACTCTCATGCTCCCTGCTAATACCCCTCTATTCTTCACCAGTTGTTGCCGACATAACTTTAATTCACCCTACATTTAGAGTTAATTCAATACAAATAGAAACTCTGAACAAGTAAAAAGCAGGTAGATCCTAGTTCCACTTAAGTATAAACAACAATTATATCTCCAAATGACTGTTGCATTCCTACACTTTTTTTTTTTTGTATTCTGTAACTGCTACATATAAAAAAAACATGATATCTGTGTTTTTGAAACTGGCTTATTTCATTAAGCATGATGGTTTCAGGTTGTTTCCATTTTGTTGCAAAAGACAGCATTTCAGTATTTCATGGCTATGCAATATTCCTTGGCATATTTACACCTTATTTTCCTTTTTTAAAAAGAGATATATTTATTTTTTTTGGAAGTCAGATATAAAGAGAAGAGAGACAGAAAAATCTTCCATCTGCTGATTCACTCCCCAAGTGGCTGCAATGGCCAGAGCTGAGCCGATCCGAAACCAGGAGCCAGGAACTTCTAGGTCTCCCACGTGGGTGCAGGGTCCCAAGGCTTTGGGCCATGACTGCTTTCCCAGGCCACAAGCAGGGAGCTGTATGGGAAGTGGGGCCACCAGGACATGAGGAATTTAGCCACTAGGCTATCGTGCCATGTCCTACACCCTATTTTTTAGTCATCTGCTAAAGGACACTTAAGCTGATGTCATATTTTAGCTGTTGTTAATTGTGCTGCAATAAAGCTGGCAGTACAAATAACTATTTCACATGCTGATTTCATTTCATATGGGTAGATTCTAAGAAATGGAATAACTGGGTCACATGGTAGATCATTTTCAGATCTCTGAGAAATCTCCAAGAATGGTTGTGCTAGTTCTCATTCCCCAAAACAGTGGATTAGGGTATCCTTCCTCCCATATATCTTCACCAGCATTTATTGTTATTTCATTTTTGTATAACAGCCATTCTAACTGGGGTGAGGTAAAGAAAGCGTCACTGTGATTTTTCTTTGCATTTCCCTGATGGCTATTAATCCTAAGTACTTTTCCATGTGTCTGTCTGCAATTTGTATTCAATATTTGAAAACTGCTGGTTTATGTTCTTTGCCCATTTCTTAACAGGAGTGTTTGTTTTGTAGTTCTTGATCTCTTTATCAAGCCTGAATACTAATGGTTTATCAGCTCCATGGTTGGCAAATAACTTCCCCCCTTGTGTCAGCTGCCCATTCATTTTGTTGAGTGTTTCCATTGCAGTGCAGATTTATTCTTAGCTTAATGCAATGCCTTTTGTCTATTTCTTTATTACTTGTCTTTCTGGTGTCTTTTCCAAAAAGTCTTTTCTAAAGTCAAAGTCTTGCAAAATTTTTCTAATGTTTTCCTTTAGTAACTTGATGGTATCAGGTTGTAGTTGTAGGTCCTTGATTATCTTTGAGTAGATTTTTTTATATAAGGGATAAGGATTATCCTGTTCTGCTGGCTAAGAGTAGAAACCGCTTAAGGATAAATTAAAAGAAATTCTTGTCTCTCAGACATGGAAAGGAAGTATCCTATTTCTGTTTTATACCATTACATTATCAATATTGTACTGTTTCTTGGACAGAGTTCAGGAAAAATGAACTTGCTGAACAAAATTATCTGGCATGGCAATTTACATGATTGTAATAATAAACACAGGAATAACACTATTTTCATATTATTCCCCAACTCCATTATACTTTCAGAGACATTAAATGTGAATATGGTTACAGAATACAAATTACAAAAGTTAGAAGATAATGCAGACAAAAGTGAAATTATCTTTTCACTGCCCTAAAAGTCTAAAATAAAACAATTACCATGGAGGGTTTAGACAAAAAAATACACAATACATGAATAGATATCAACACAGTGGGTGTGGCTGGCATTGTGACACAGTGGGTTATGCCACCAGCTGCTATGACAGCATCCCGTACCAGTATAGATTCCAGTCATGACAGTTTGTTTCTGATCTAACTCCTATTAATGTTCCTGGGAAAGCGGAATAAGATACCACCCACATGGTGGTCCCGGCGACGTTCCTGGCTCCTAGCCTTAGCCTGGGCCAGTCCTAACTATGTGGCCATTTGTGGAGTGGGCCAGAGGATCAAAGACCTCTCTCGTATACTCTTAAAAGAAATACTGAATAAACTCATAAGTTTTTAACACAGTACCAACAAAAAGATCTTTTTTCATATTCTTTGATTTAAACTTATTCTATTTGATAGTGATGTACTTGTAGGACCCAGGCCACACTGTGCATCCATGTGTAAAGGCCACACCGTGATCTCACACCTTTACATTCCCCTGGCCGTCAAGCTAGGACACTTTGCTTTTGCCATTGCTCTGAAAACCTTACTCATACTTGGAAACCGGTTCAAGTATCAGTCCCTATGCAAGTTTTTGACCTTCTCTAGTAGAGTGATTCTCTCCTAATACTACTTCTGTACTTAAACAATTTAATGTTTTCTTGCATCATACTATCTTCACTTTGAGAAGATGAGACATTTCAGATAGGGACGCTGAATACCCAGTGCATAAGCAGGCACTCAGTAAGTACTTACTGAACTGAACTAGGTTGAAATATGTTAAGAAACCATCCAAAGAAATGACAAAGCTTGAGGACTGAAGGCTATCAAGGATAACTACAGGGTAACATTCTTGGGAAGTAGGTTCTTAGAGAATCACAGACCTATCTTGCCTCCAGGAAATAAAGGAACAAACCCACTTTTTAACATTACTTAGAGGTAAACGCATAAGCATCGACTCCTAGTTTGGGATTATTTCTTTTTTATTGATGTTAAAGCTTTCTCTTGAAATTTATCCCTCCTGGATTTGTATCAGAACTCTTCTACCTGTTAAAGCACTGGGCAAATGAGGTAGGCCTAAAATCACTGGATTAAGAAAACAAAGATGCATCTCTTATTTTTTCCATGACTATTTTTATGTTGTTACTTTATTTCTGTTAGGATACCTGCAAGCTTAGGCCAACCAAACAATGGTGTGAAGAGCACAGATGGCCATGTACCTGACTTACTCATTCTCCCATGCTCATAGGCACTTTAAATTTTGGCCAGATTTGATGTTAAGGTTACTTACGGCCCCTTTAACAATCCCTTAAAAAAATACTCAAATCTAAGAGTATAATTTAATATTGAGCCATACCAGTCATTTATTCCCTGGCATGGATGAATGCATTAGCTTTTTTCTACATAGAATTTAACTATTTAATTGAGACGGAGGGATGGAGAGATTTTACCAGAGTACCAACAAAAAAGATTAGACCTTAAAAAAAAAAATCAAACATGAAAATAAACCAGCTGTTTGTCCAAACATATGATCCTGACAATGAAAAAAATTTTTTTCTCACACTCTTTGACTTAAACTGAGTAAGTTTAATGAAGGTGAAAGAAGGCTGACTTAATCTCATAGTACAGTACAGCGAGGTAGTCATTAAGAGGACAGGTGTTGAAGTCACGCTACCTAATAGGATCTTAGCTCTGTGGACTGGTGTTGTAGTGTAGCAAGTTAAGCCTGCTTCCTATGACATCAGCATTCCACACAGATATGTGTTCTCAAATCCTGGCTGTTCCGCATCCAATCCAGCTCCTAGCTGATGGCCTTGGAAAAGTAGCAGAAGATGGCCCAAGTGCTTGGGTTCCTGACACCATGTGGGAGACCTGGATGAAGCTGTTGGTACCTAGATATCGTCTCGACACAGTTCTGGCCATTGCAGCCATCTGAGAGAAGTGAACCAAGTGCAAGATCTCTCCTTCTCTGTCTCTATCCCTCTTCCTCTGAAACACTTTCAAAATAAATATAAATTTTTAAAATTCAGCTGTGCCCTTCTATTTACTACGTGACATTTATCCAAATATTTCACTTCTCTATGGAGCAGTTTTCTCATTTACAAAATGAATACCATAAAAGTACCTCATAGTACTGTGAGGAAGACTAAATGTATTACACTTAGAATGTCATCTTGTTAGTTAGGTCTTTTATATGGCAGCTATTTTAAATATGTCTCATCAAATTGAAAAAAAAAAACATGCTATTTCAATACTCCTCATCAATTTGACAAAAACCGTGCTGTCTACCAAAGTAAGCATGAGCTTTTTCGCTTCATATTTACTAAAACATTTCTGCAAATTATGTATCTTTCCACTGAGGCACATTAGCAGGGAGTTTAGTCAGAAATAGAGTGGCAGGGCTCCAACTGGCACACTGATACGCATGTTGCTGTTTTGTGCAGAGGTTTAAACTTCAGAGTATTGATGTTAGCCCCTTCCTGAAAGTTTTTGATGTTTGCTGGCATATGACATCAACTACACTGAAGGATGAGGAATTTTTCCTAGTCATTGTTATCTGGCTTTGTTTGTATTCTAAACTTACTGATATCTCCACAATTTCAGAATTAGATGGTAACCTAGTTGAGAGTCTATTCCAAAGTCTGATGATGATGTGTTGTCACTTTTTCAGCACTAGGAGCCCCTATATCCAGTTTGTCCCAATCCACAATAGTACTGTTCAGAATGAAGCACTAGAGCTCAATCTTAGAGCACTGAGATAAAGATAAAGGCCTCTTGGGTTTATCTGGTGCTAGGTCCAGTACTGAGATCCAAGGCAAGTCCTGTGCTAATGTTCCTCCCCTGCTCCTAAGAGGATGGAATCTTACTGAGTGGGGAAGGGGTCATGGAGACAGTCTTGCCTGCTTGGATAAGAAGGATCCAAAGGTTCAATCTACTGGTAATGGGATGGGGCAGGGGCCCTCTATGTTTGAGTTTTACAATGGTGAGTTGGCTTTACTAGGCTTAAGCCTAA